TTGCGATGCTACTGCAGAGGACTTGGGTTTATTTCCCAGCACCCACATGGCAGCTAATAACTGTCCATAACTCCAATTCCAGAGAGGTTCTGACACCCTCTTCTGATCTCCATGGGCATTGCACACACAGGTGCACTTACATACATTCAGGCAAAACACTCATACACAATTAAAAAAAAAAAAAAAGCGGCCAGGTTTGTGGCACTGGCCTTTAACACTAGCATCGGGGAGGCAGAGTTCGGTGGAGCTCTGAGTTCCAGGTCAGTCTGGTCTACACTGTGAGTGCCAGGCCAGTTGGGGCTACAGAGAGAACTTGTCTTAAAAAGACCGGGGGAAAAAAAGAAAAGCAAAGGTGCTTCAGTCCCTGTGACCAATGGGGTTAGGCTATTTTAGCTAGTGAAGCATGCAGTGTGCAAAAGAATGCTTCCATCTGAGTCCCAACGATTGAAATTGAAGAGGCTTTTCTAAAAAGATCAAAAGTTGATACTAACCTAAAAATCCCTAGTTCAATTTAATTCCATGAAACCTCTAAGCTGCCACACTACAGCCCAGTAGGCACTCATCAAGGTCCTGGGTGAGCTTCTGATCTTGCCTTCATACCGAGGACCTGAATGGTTTTGTTAGTTGCTTTGTGGGTTCTAGGAGTTGAACCTAGGGCCTTGTGCATGATAAGCAAGTCCCCTATCACAAGCTGTATCCCAAGTCCTCTCTGTACTTGATGCCTTGAGTTTTGTTTAATGATTTATTTTTGTTTGCTCAAGTGTTTTGATTGCCTATATGTATTCTGGTATGAGTGTAGTGCCCTGGAAGGTCAGAAGAGGGTGAGAGTTACCATGTGGGTGTGGGGAATCAATCCCAGGTCCTCTGGAAGAACAGTAAGTACTCTTAACCCCAGAGCCATCTCTCTAGCCCTGTTTATTTTGGCTGTCCTAGAACTCACTATGTAGCCCAGACTGGCCTCTGAGTCAGACATCTGCCTGCCTCTGCCTCTACCCTACCTCCGAGTGCTGAGACTAAAGGTATGTGCCACCACATCTGGCAATGCCTTGAGTTTGGAAGGAAGACTTTCATGAACTCAGAGATGGACAGGTAGAGTTAAAAACATGGCAAAACACTGGTACCAAATTATGGTTCCTAAAAACAAGAGCTAAAGAGGAAGGGTATATAAGTGTGGATAGGGAGGATTTAAAGTAGACCCACCAAACTTCATAACTCAAGGCTAAGAAAGGTGTTTCATGATTGGGGAGGAAATCTGGAAAGGACTCTGAGCTTAGAACAGAAATTTAGAGGTAGGTCTGGCAGAACTATCCTCCAGGGTACTTGACAAACTTGACTATTTTTTAAAAAATATTTTATTATTTTTATTTTGTGTATGTGTATATTGCCTGCATGTAGGTAAGTGCCCACAGAGGACAGAAGAGGCTGTCAGATCCCCTGGAACTGGAGTTACAGTTAGCTGCCATTTGGGTGCTGGGATTCGAACCCAGGTCTTCCAGGTCTTCTGCAAGAACAGCCATTGTTCTTAACCACTGAACCATCTCTCCAGCCCCAAACTTGGCTATTTTCATTGTTGGTTGCTTGTTTGAAACAGGGTCTTGCTGTATAACCCAGGCTGGCCTCAAACTCAAGTTCTTCCTGCCTCTGCTTTCTGAGCTCTGGGATTGCAGGCGTGAACCACCACACCTGTCCCACCGTGGTTGTTATGTGAGTACTCTATAGACGCCACTGCAATTTCCGTATGGGGCCTTGTGCATGTTGAGCAAGGGCATGTTGAATCACCCCCCCCCAAACACACACACACCAGAATTTCCCAGGGAAGAATTATTCTGGGTATAAGGGATCTACCCCACCTGCAGGGGAAGTTTGAAAGTTCAGGAGCTGGGCAATGCCTGGCTTTCTGTCTCAGTGAGGACTATTTCCTGTATTGCCCAGAATAAATCACAACTTCATCCTGATTTTCAGAATTCAACTTCTTTTTTTTAAGCCCGTGTGTTTGAAAAATAAACTTCAAGAAGTGCTCTCAAGAGAATTTGATGAACCCCACCCATACCCCTAAGCTAAGTTAGATGTTTGCTCCTTTGTTCTCTTAACTCCAGACCAATAGTCCTCCAGCCTCACTCACCCCAATTCAAGGATGATCTGGTTTAGTATCTCCCTAGGGGTGGCTTCTTCACCTCTTTGTGCCTTTGGCAGTCTGCTGAAACCTATAAACCAATTCTCAGAATAATGTTTCTCAATGTTTAGAATAAAACACAGAGGATTACAAAGAAACCAATGACACTGGCATGTAGTTAACTGCAGAAAAGGTCTGGGTAGAACTCATTGAGTGCAGGGACTGTCTTCATCTCTGCACTGCCCGTGCCTAGCACAAAGCCGGCACATAGATGGTACTTACAAATGTTTATTTAATGAATGGATAGATAGCTACCATCAAGTCAGCCTGAGGAGTGATTCACTACAACTGCCTATTCACAGATCAGTGACTTGGACATGTCTCACCCCATCAGAAATCATCCAGATCAGGACTGGAATCCCTCCTCACAAGCAGTACCACAGCAGGTAGCAATGACAGCAATGGGAGGACCAGGGAAACAAAGCTCATGCATTCCACTGGCTGGAACATTTAGCAAGTGAAAGTAAACAGGCTCTGTCTACAGAAGGAAATCTCTCAACTTTGGACACATGATGCTCACAAGACCTTAAAACACTACCAAGAGCTGTGATGGGGGAAGAAACTGAGGGGGATCCTCTTTAGTCCCTAGGATTCCCACCCCCCCCATCCTGAATTGGTCCCTTTCCTTTCTGGGAAAGAGAAGTGACCTAAAGAGGGGATGAGACATAGTTCTGTTGGTTTAAGTAGCAATTTTAGTCTTAGATAGGAATTTTGTTTCGAGGGCTGGTAAGATGGGTGAGGGTACTTTTCAACAAGCCCGGAGACTAAATTCAATCTCCAGGACCCACATGGTAGAAGAGAACTGACTCCTGAAGGCTGTCCTCTGACCACCACATGCGCACCACAGCAAGCACACATCCCACACACAAATAAATGGATAAATAAATGTAATAAAACTTTTGGTGTTATGTACCAACAGAAAACCTAAGGAAGGGAAATAAATTCTAGTTCCTTACTAAAATATATATATGGCCAAAGATTTGTTCTAATTATTTTTTTTCCTTTGAGACAGGGTTTCACGTATCCCAGGTTGGCCTTGAACTTGCTATGTAGCAGCGGATGACCTTAAACTTCTGATTCTCCTGTCTCTACTTCCCAAGTGCTAGATCATAGGCACATGCCACCACATGCCTTTTTTACAAGTTGGGGACGGAACCCAGGGCTTCATGCATGCTAGGCAAGTATTTACCAACTGAGCTATAACCCCATGCCCAATTAAATAATAATAAAAAAATTAAGCTGAAACCCATTACTGAGTGGAATTCAGAAATCTCACTCCTGAGTCTTTAGGGTGACCCTCCTGAGTTAGAGGGCTTCTCTGGCTACATGCAGTCTGTAAGGGAGAGGAGAATACAATTTTCAGTTGCTTAACAGGGTTTCCAACATCTATTGGAGAAAGATGGGTTTAGATAGGTACTCTCTCTTTTTTTAAAAGAAACCCTAAAGTTTTTATTTTAATTAAGGAAAACAAAATTTTCCAGTCCTAAGGTGTGAGCTTTCTTTTTGACCTATTCTTCAAGTTGTCTGCAGTTTCCCAATGTTTTTCCTATGCAGTAATCAATGCAATCAAAGAAATAAAAACTAGTGTCCACTCTTGCCCCAAACACTGAAGAGGGACAAAGAGAAGGAATCACAGCATGGATAGTGGCCCAATTTTAAGTACACAAACAACATTTAGGGAAAAAAAATACCCCAGCCCCAAGAAATTATTGACATTCCTGGTACATTTCCTATAATATAATGTGACAGACAATGTTTCTTTCCCAGAGAGTCCAGCTCACTCAGGAGGAGACATTTAGTCCACGCCTCAGGGAAGGCCGGGGGTGTTACCAGTCTTCTCAGCCAAGCCTAAGTTTTTTTATGAGCTTAGTATTCTCACAGAAACATCTGTGGTATAAACAGTATAAATACATCTAAAAGGAGATGAAGGTAGGCAGGCACCTGTCCCTCTTCTCCAAATCAGCCAAAAAGCTGAAGAGTGCGGACTCAAGGAGACTGAGGGATGAGGACAGGAGGAAGCACCAAGCGAGAGGCCGCTCTTGGTTCCAAAGCGCGCGCGCGCGCACACACACACACACACACACACACACACACACACACACACACACACACGGCTCCACCAAAAAAAGCAGCTGGTCTGGATGAGGAACTCTGCTGCTCCTGGAGTCATGCAACAAAAATGAAGGCCTTGGAGCCCCACCCCTGTGACAGCCATAGTCCAAGAACTAGAGCAATTTACACATCACAGTTTGCAAAGAAAGGACAGACCCTAGGTGAGGAGGGGAAGGAGTGCTTTGACAGGGGCAAGGCAAGGTGAACTATCCCCGTTAACCCCAACACACAGATGTGGCATCCTGATTGATGTTTCTACCAGGCCACAGCCACTGCTGCTACTTACTCTGTATGTCCCCTTCCACATATCACTGACCTCTTCTCAAAATGGCACACAACCCTCCCCTCAGAGGATAATTCCCTTGCCCCGTCCTTGTCAAAGGGCTTCCCTTTTTAAGCTGCTGATGGCATGCTACCTTCTGCTCTAAGCAGAGTTCAGCTTCCTTTTTGTTTCAGAGTTTTGCACGGACCTCTGAGGCCATCTCCAGGATACAAAAGAAAGTACACTTCTGCATCCACATGCGAGCAGGTCATCTTCCAGTGTCAGATCTGTGCTCCAGAGTTTGCTCAATGTATTTTTACAAAAGAGAAACCACACATGCGTACACAGACAGACTATCCTGGAAAGAGTTCCTGGTTATTTTCATACTTCCCCTAAAAAAAATAACTTCCTTGGGGGTAAGAAGATGAGGACATTGAGTGACCTACTCTTAACTTCTGGAAAGGTAGCTTGTTTTGTCCATTTGTCAATGAGGGGATAGGAGGAACCCAACATTTTCAGTTACAACGAGATTTTGTTGTTTTTTTGTTTTTTTAAAAAAGGTTCTATGTGGAAATGAGTGGGACAATGATAAAAATAAACAATTAAAATTTCAAACCAAAACATATCTTCTGGCCCCAAGACCCCCAGTTAATCCTCTAAGACCACAATCTCCACATTGTGGACTTGATGCTGGTGTTCCTCCATCTCAGCTACCACCTTCTCCTCAGTCCTCAGCTCCGTCTCCAAGATGACTGCTTTGCCCTCAGTGTCTTCAGCCTCAGGGTCTGGGGCAGGGTCAATTTCAATGATGGTCTGCCCATCCTCCGAGGTGCTCTCAACAGCTTGGATTGCTGAGGTCAGGCCAGACTCCATGGCCACCAGCTCCACAGGGCTCACCATGGTGGCCATATTGCCCAGGGTACTCCCATCCTGCATGGTGGTAGAGCTTAGCAGCGCCAAGCTAGATGAAGGGTGGATGGTCACTGTCTCTGGTGAGCTGCTCTTGGCAGAGGAGACCACTGTGGCATAGCGGAAGAGCTGGGGGCCAGAAGGCAGGGTGTGGACAGTCACAGGACTGGAGCCCTGGCTGAGGGTGGCCACTGGAATATTGCCCATAGAAAACGACTGACCCACTGGGGTGATGGTGATAGGTGAGATGACGGTGAACTGAGGCTGTTGGACAGGAGGAGAAGGGCTCAGGACAGTGGTGGAGGCTGGCCGCTGGAGCCGGGGTCTTTTGGGAGGCTTAGGAGTGCTCACAGGCATCAATACCACATTCTGAACTGTCTGCGATTTCAGCCTGGGATCCTGGGCTTGCTTCTTTTGCTCTTCTAACTGGCGTTCCAAGTCTGTGGGAAAGAAAACAACACACACACAAAAACAAAAACAAAAACTAAACAAATAAAAAAAAACCCCAGACTCTGTAGGGGGAGAAGTGTAATCTTAGAAACATTAAGTCAGGAATCAGGAGACAGGGGCCTGGTTTGCCACTATGCAGCCTCAGGCAAGTCATTCTATTGTTTCCAAAGTAACTAGTGCAAGTGATTTTTTTTAAACCCTCCAGTAATTACATTTAATTGTGTGATTATGGACAGAGCAACATCTCAGACAGCTCTTTGTTTATCTCAGAGTGTTCTTTGTCTGTCTGTTGAGACAAGGGATCTCCCAGCAGCCCCCGCTGGCCCCAGACTCCCATGTAGACCAGGCTGACCTGGATCTCACAGAGCGCTGCCTGCCTCTGCCTCTGCCTCCAGAGTGCAGAAGTTATTTCCTATTTATTTATTTATTTATTTATGTCTTTTTTTTTTTTTTTTTTTTGAGACAGGGTCTCCCTGTAGCTCCAGCTGGCCTGGAACTCACTACACAGACCAGGCTGACCTTGAACTCATAGAGATCCACCTGCCTCTGCCTCCCAAGTTATAGGACTAAAGGTGTGCGCCACCAAGCCCAGCTCAGAAGTTACAGGTACATCCCTATAACATTTAGCCATCCTTTCCCCCTCTTTCCCTTGTGCCATTGCCAGACTCTGGTAACTACTATTCCGTTCTGTTTTCCTCTGCTGTTATCAGTTAGTCTTGTAGTTTGAACAAACCCAGTCTGAGTGTAGCTACCGAGAAGCATGCATAAGACCTTTGGAATCATCACAGACGTGAACATTCTGAAATAACACATGGTACTCAGAATGTCTTTCAAGGCAACATTACCTTACTTCATTGGCAGGAAAACTCCTGTGCTATACTCTACTATTAACCCTAAGAAATATGAACTGAAAGAGGTCTTAACAAGGATACAGGGATTCATCTTAATAGGGCTACAGAGAGAAAAACTGACTTAAGGTTACAGAACTTGGGCCATAGCAAAAGTCTTCTGATGGTGAACTTGGTGATTTTTTTCATTACAATAAGACAATTATATCTTTCTCCCAAGTGTCCAAACTAAAATTGATGTCCACTGGTGAGTTAGAGAATACACTGTAACTTCTTCATTGCTCTAGGACCTGACACTGACCTGGAATCAGTTACACTGTGATGGGATTTTGTAATTCAGCAAGAAATAGATAGGCCTGGGTGTGGTGGCACATGCTGCAATCCCAGCACTAAGGAGGCTGCTGTTGGTCTCAAACTCACTATCTTCCTTCAGGTGTGAACCACCATGCCCAGCTTTGATAATTTTTAAAAATTATTTATTTTTTAAATGTATGTGTATTGAGTGTATTCCTGAAGGAGTTTATGTGCACCATATGCTTGCAGGAGCCCTCAGGGGCCACAAGAGGGCAGTGGATTTCCTAGAACTGGATTTACAGGCAATTGTGTCACCATATGGGTGCTGGTAAAAATTTTTTAAATGAATTTTTGCTACCTATTGTCAATTAACCCAAGAAGATTATGCCAACTTATTTCATCAGTTTAAGTACATCAGTATTGGATATTGTTATTTCCCATCTTCCTTGATTTAATTTTTTTTAATTTTTATTGTATGTGTAAGAGTGTATTGCCTACATGTGTATAAGTGTACTCATGTCATGTAATGCTTGTAGAGGTCAGAAAAGGAGGTAGGATTTCCCTGGAACTGGAGTTAAGGACAGTTGCTAGCTATCATGTGAATGCTGGCAACCGAACCCAGGTCTTCTGCAAGAGCAGCCAGTGCTCTTAAGTGCTGAGCCATCTCTTCAGTCCCTACACAGTAAGTTTAAAGTTAACCTGAGCTACATGAGGAGACTTAAAAACAAAATCATGAGGTGTGGTGATGCCACCTGTTATTCTAGCACTTGGGGAGCAGATAGGAAAATTTCCCATGAGAACGAAGCCAGCCTAGATGATATAGTGAGTTCCAAACCAGCTAGGGCTATATAGATAGACCTTGTTCCAAAACATAAAATAACAACAGAAAAGCCTGGCTTGGTGGCTCACACATGTAATCCCAGCACTTGGCAGGCTGTGGTAGGAGGACTGCAGCTTTAAGGCCAGAGTAAGAAAACAAACAAAGACAATGATTTAAAGAATAAGCTGCAGGGGCTGGAGAGATGGCTCAGCAGTTAAAAACACTGGTTGTTCTTGCATAAGATCCAGGTTCGAATCCTAGCACCCACATGGCAGCTAACAACTGCCCATAATTCCAGTCTCAGGGGATCCAAAGCTTCTGACCTCTGCGGGCACTGCATGACACGGGTGCACTTACCTACATGCAAGCAATACACACATACACATAAAATAAAAATAATAAAAAAAAATTTTTTTTAATTAAAAAAAAAAAAAAAAAGCCAGGGGGGGGGGCGCACCCCTTTAGTCCCAGCACTTGGGAGGCAGAGGCAGGCACATCTCTGTGAGTTCAAGGCCAGACTGGTCTACATAGTGAGTTCCAGGCCACTGGAGCTACAGGGAGACCCTGTCTCATAAAAGATAAAAAAAAAAAAGCTGCAATTAGCTCAGTGGCAAACACTCGCCTAACATTTATGTGGCCCTGGGTTCAATCCCTAGGACCAGAAAAAAGAAAAAAGTGACTACTTGAATATGATAACTTATACCTGTAGTCCAAACTCAGGAGGCTGAGGCAGATGGATTGCTGTGGGTTTGAAGTCAACCTTGGTTACACAGTGAGTGCCAGAATAGCCTGGGTTATTGTGTAAGAGCCTGTCTCAATATGACCCACACTTCTAATTCCAGCAGTGTGGAGGTGGAGGCACAGGAAACAGGGTCTCTCACTGAACCTGGAGCTCATCAATTTGGCCAGGCTGGCCAATGGACTCCAGGACATGCTTGTTTCCAATTCTCCAGTACTGAGATTACAGATGCATGTCACTGAGCCCAGCTTTTTTTGTGTGGGTGTTAGGGATCCGAACTGAGGTCTTCATGCTTGTAAGGCAAACACTTTATTGACTGAGCCACCTCCTTAGTCATAATTTATGATTATCACAAATAATGGAGAATGTACAAAATCCGTATTTAGCAAAAGCAGACGTATCAATAATATAAAAAAGGCAAAGTCTAAATTGTGTCTTCTACCAACAACATTGCTGGATTAATAGAATAATCTAGTAGACATATTCCTTCAAAAAATAGTCAGTAATGTGGTGGTGGCACATCCCTTTAGTCCCAGAACTTGGGAGGCAGAGGCGGATTGGATTTCTATGCGATCAAGGCCAGCCTGGTCTATATATAGAGTTCCAGGTCAGCTGGGACTACAGGTAGACCCTGTCTCAAGAAAACAAAACAACTAACTAAGCAAAACACCACCTAAGAAGAGAAGTAAGTTATACGTACCTGTCAGAGTATAGAAAAACTGCTCTTCTCCCTGTTCTATTTGGTTCTTTCTGTTGTCCAAAACTCTCTTGACTGTGTCCATTAGACCAAAGGTATGTGCCACATTGTTGAGAACAGCAGCATCTATTTGAAACAGAATACATGCCTGTAGAGTTAAAGCAGACATGTGCTACCAGCTCCTTATTGTGCTGTTCATGGGTCTGAAAGAACCCAGAAGCATGGTATGGTGGCAAATACCCATAATCCCAGCCCTTATGAAATGGAGGAAGAAGGTTCAGGAGTTCAAGGTTAACCTAGGCTACATAGTGAGTTCTAGGCTATCCTGAGCTATATGAGACTCTCAATCACATATACCTCATCTCCAAAAAAGAAAGAACCAAGAAATTACGGGATTTGCCTAAATACATTTTAATAATTTTTTGTCATTGTTGTTTTTGAGGCAGGGTCGCATATAGCCTTGCTATGGATGTCAAACTTGATAAGGATGACTTTGACCTCCTGCTTCTACCTCTCAGGTGCTGAGATTACACCAAGGTACCTGGAAATACTTTTACCAAGATTTATCACACACATATCTAATTTTGATTTTTTAATGTTTTTGAAAACCTTTCCATATAACACAGTGGTAGAGTGCTTGTTTAGCATGCCAGAGGTCCTAGGTTCAACCCCCAGCACTGCAAAAACAAAAAGCAAAAATAACTAAAAAAAGAAAAACCAAACAAACACAACTAAATAAGTAAACTTAAAAAGCAAATAATCAGTCTTGTACCTGGTTATAAATTGCAACTTTTGGATTGGAGAGATGGCTCAGCAGGTTAAGAGCAATGACTGTCCTTAAGGACCCAGGTTTGATTCCCAGCACCCACATGGTGGCTAACAACTATCCATAACTCCAGTTCCAGGAGCTCCAACACCTTCTGACATCCTCGAACATTGTACAAAATAAGTACACTTATACACATGTAGGCAATACACTCATACACATAAAAAATAAAATAGAGAAAAAAATTTAAAAAATTAAAAAAACCAAATTGTAGCTTTTGGTTTAGAAAATGTGGTGAAAGCTAGGTGTGATGGTATACAACTGTAGCCCCACCTATTCTGGAAGCTGAGGCAGGAAGACTACTTGAGCCTAGGAGTTCAAGATCAGCCTGGGCAACATAGTGAGACTTTACCTCCAAATACACAAGTAGGCCAGGTATGGTGGTTTATACCCATAAGCATAGCATTTGGGAGGCTGAGGTTAGATGACTGCCTTGAGCTTGAGGTCAGCCTGGGCTACACAGTGAATTCCAGCCTGGGATATAGAATGAGACCTTGTCTCAAAAATCCAAATAGTAGGGCCATCAAGATGGCTCTGTGGGTAAAGGCACTTGTGGCCAAGCCTGATGATTTGAGTTCAATCCCCAGGACCCATACAGTGCAAGGAGAGAACTGACTCTAACAAGTTGTCCTCTGATCTCCATATGTGCACTTACGGCACATATCTGCCCACACACAAATTTTTAAAATGTTATAAAATACATTTGGATGACTGTACTAGATAGAGCGAATGGTTTGATCTCAATCTTGCTACTATTTTTTTACTTTATGTGTATGTGTCTATGTCTTTATGTGGGTATGTGCACATGAATGCAGGTGCCCACAGAGGTCTGAGGTGTTGGGTCTTCCTGGAGCTGGAGTTACTGGAAGTTGTGAGCTGCCCAATGTGGGTGTTGGGAACCAAACTCAGGTCTTATGAGTTCGTTCTCGTAACTTCTGAACCATCTCTCCTATGCCAATCTTGGTACTTTCTGTTGTTTGAGGGACTGAATGAGGGCCTTATGCTATCTAGTTTTGCTTAGATAACCCAGTGAAATAGTCCCTTCACTCCTTAGTCTCTTCAGCCAAGACAAATGGGACTAATACTGACTGTAAATAGAGATGAAGAGTAGAGACACCATACTTTACATGTCTAACTCAAGAGCTGGCATGCACTATTATCAGTACATATCTGCTTAGCCACCACACAAACTTGAAATCGTTGCATCTGTTGTCATTCCTCACTTCCCTAACTCATACCACTTCACCTACCTTCTCTTCCATAGTCACCTCACTCAGTTCTATTTTTTGGTTTTGTTGTTTTGAGACATGTAGCCCAGTCTGACCTCTACCTCCTGAGTGCTGGGATTACAGGCATGTACCATAATGTAGCTGAGACTACAGACTGGTGCCACTGTGCCTAATGTGATGGTTTTAAACATGTAAAGGCTAAAACTCCCACATGCAGTTCTCTAGCTCTGGCTTCTTTCCTGTGCTATATATTCACACTGCCATCTATTAGGTGATGCCTCTATTTGGAAGCCTTATGGTCATCTCAATTTAGTAGCTGAATGGTTTGGCATGTACCTAGTGTACCCAAAGCCCCAAGTTCCAACCTCAACACCATAAAATAAATAATAATAAAATAAAACACTAATTTTGAGGACTGGCACGGTGACACAGGCTTGTAAGTCCCAGGTTTTAGAAGGTAAAAGCAGGAAGACAGTTTAAGGACAGCCTGGGCTACACGGTGACCCTTTCTTAGGAAATTAAAACTACAACAAAACCTAGGACTAAAGGCACAGCTCAGTGGTAGAACATTTGCCTAACATATGTGAGGCTATGGGTTCAATACTCAGCACCACACAGGGAAAAAAATAAAGCCTGGCGTGGTGGTGTACACCTTTAGTCCCAGCACTAGGACTGTGGATTTTGTTTGGCTATTTGGTATAAAATGTGTAGGTTATAAAGAGTTAATAAGTAATAACTAACAAGTCTAAGTATGAACTCAGTGAACATCTCCTATATTGAGGTCCACCCACCCAGGGCTCAGGGACCATTGTGGAAGATGGAGCAGAAAGATTTTAAGAGCCAGGGAGGAGGTGCATGACCATATGGAAATGGTCCTACAGGTGCCTGGGACCTTTCTCATACAAACCTACAGCAATGGTGTCAGCATGCACAAGACCCATGCAAACTTAGGCAGACAAAAACCTAGCACAGAACTGTGGAAATGAGCAGCAGGCCCCAATCTTAGTCGAAGAACTATTGGTAGCTTATTACTGCTGGGCGAGGAAGAGCTGATCTACTTAAAGGGAGGGACTCTAAATACACTGACTAGACCCCAGTGGATGAACTTGCACTGAGGACATCTGGGGACATCAACTTTATATAATAGGCCTTAACACAAATGACAGAATGTATGAACTCCATTGGGGCGGCTATGTGAGGGTGCCAAAGGGGAAGGGGGTATAAAGCTGATTTTCTGTATGAAATACACAAAATTTCAATAAAAAATTAAAATTAGAAAAAAGAATTCAGTAAACATCAAGCATATGAGGCCTCATCATAACCCTAATTATAGCAGATGAATAAAATATCCTTTATACTCTGTACAACAGTAAGCATCCTGAGAATTTTTTTTTCTTTTTGAAGCAGCCTCTCCCTGTAAGCCCCAGCTGGCCTGGAACTCACTATGTAGACCAGGCTGGCCTTGAGCTCACAGAGATCCGCCTGCCTCTGCCTCTCAAGTGCTGGGACTACAGGCGTGGCCACCACACCCGGCTCTGAGAATATTTTTAAATAGCTATAAGTGAACACAATAGTTCACAAAGCCTTAAATTAATAGAATGTGAGAATAACCAAAACCCAGATAGATTGTACCTATTTTCAGACTATACATATATGTGCGTGTTATATGTGTATATATGCATACATGTATATATGTACATAGATTATAGATATATCAACAGAAAAAGAAAAAAAGAGGAGATGGGGCAGAGTGCTTTCTGGCACTTATTTTTTGGTCTTTTTGAGACAGGGTCTCCTTGTAGCCCCAGCTATCCTGGAGCTTACTATGTAGACAGATTGGACTTGAATTCACAGAGATCCACCTCCCTCTGCCTCCCAAGTACTAGGACTACAGGCATGTGTCACCATGCCCAGCTTCTGACACAATTTAAAAGAACAAAACCACCTATGAAAAAAACTTGGAGAGTTGGGTGTGGTGTAATCTCAGCACCTGGGAGACCAAGGTGGCCTGCTGCCTGCCTGTGCTACAGATGGAGTTCAAGTCCAAACATGAGATCCTGTTTCAAAACAATAGTAATAAAAGGAATGGTCAGACATAAGTTTAAAACCCAATTAATGAAAAATTAAGGAAAGAAGGAAGGGAGGGAGGGAAGGAGGGAAGGAGGGAAGGAAGGAAGGAAGGAAAACTATCTAGTTTGACCATGGAGACAACTTCTAGGTTCCTAAAATTGCCTAGCTATAATGCAACCCCAAATTTTAACCTCTGTCTCCCAGAGCATGCCAGGTCCTAGGGTAGAAGGTTACATACATAAATAAATAAAACCCAGTTACGAACCATGAAAAAAATTATTCTTTATGAGCCTTACTTTTCTTTTTATTTGTCTTTTTGAGACAGGTTCTCCCTGTAGCACCAGCTGGCTTGGAACTAGCTATGAAGAGATCCACCTGCCTCGGCCACCTGGTGCTGGGATTAAAGACAGGCCCCACCACGCTTGGCTTGAGCCTTACTTTTCTTATCTGTAAAATGTAGATAATACCTATATCTCCGAGTTGTGAGGCCAACAGACACCTTGCTGCAGTTGTGTATATTCAGTCAAGGATGGCTAGCGCCAGATCAGTGACCTACCTGTGACCTGGAACGGGGCCTGGATGAGCCGCTGCTGAACTCCCCTGAGAAGCTCTTCTATCTCCTTCTGTATATTGCAGACAACCTCTTCCATCAACCCAACATCAGCTATCCCCTTCCAGAACATCAACGTGTCCTCTGGCACAGGAGGGATAAGACAAAGGGTAATAAAGATGCTACTCGGATATATAAGCACATTTCTACAATGCTAAATTCAAAATTATTACAATTCAAAAGACTGTCTTAAGACATTTCTGGGAAAAGAACAAGGATTTCTGGAAGACTACCTGCCTCCTTAAGTTGGTACCTAATTATTTAGCTCTTTTAGCCACTTAGGGGCTTGGGATAATTAACTTAATTTGTCATGCTTGAGTTGTTATTACTCTGGCTACAAAATTACATCCTGCTCCAATAAAGATATTCAGTTAAATATTTAAAAACAGTAAATATTTAATACTAAATATTATTTTATTAGATTCAATTTTCATTTTGCTTTAAATTAGATTACCTGTATATTATAAAAGATAATAAAGATATTAAACTAAATATTAATTAAAAGATATATTCCCAAGCTGGGCATGGTGGCACATGCCTGTAGTCCCAGCCCTTGGGAGGCAGAGGCAGGCAGATCTCTGTGAGTTCAAGGCCAGCCTGGTCTACATAGTGAGTTTCAGGCCAGCTGGGGCTACAGGGAGACACTGATTCAAAAAAAGACCACAAAAAAAAAAAAAAAAAAAAAAAAGATATATTCCCCCTAGTCCTGTACTTGAGAAAATAAAACAACTGGGTAAGAGGAACTCTAAGTTTCCCAAGGGTAGTGGCTAAGTCTTCTTATTTATGTACCCAGCATCTAGCAATAGTAGTATCTAAAAATAGGCAATAACAAATATTTATTTAAAAAATCAATAAATGGAGAATGCAATGAAGCTTCTCCTGGCCCCACTAAGGAAATCATTAATCAACAACCAGTCTCTACATCACCTGATACCCAACTTTTCCTTCTAATATCTCAAAGCTTGATTTATCTAAGAAATGTGCCAGAGATGGGGGCAGTTAGGCAAAAGAAAAGCATGGTCAATGGAGTCAAGCAGCTGAACTCAGCTCTGACACTTACTGTATGACTGGTCCAGGACACCCTTTCTGAATCCCAACTCCTTCATGTGTAAAATGGGATTCTGCAGAGTAGTTGCATGGATTAAAACAAGATGATCCTAGCTATCATTAGTATATGTTTATGAGAAAAAAAACATCATAAGTGATTAAGAGGTCTGCTGTCTATAAACACAATGATGAAAAGGCCATAAAACCCTACAAGAGCATGGAAAAGTACCTGAGATCTCCTCTGAGTCCTTCTTCCCGCCCTCCTCTGTGGCCATTGTGACAGCAGCCGTGAGAGCGGAGTTCCATTCCAGCCCTGCCTCTTCCATGCTCTCCTCTGAGATGGCAATCTGTGTGATGCTGCCTAAACAGAATCCATCAAGATATAGAGCCAGTAAATTTCATGCAGAAGACATTGCTATCCTCTGTTTCATAATCAGAGTCACAGAGATCTTGTAATTTTAACATGCGGGGCCTCTTGCCTACAGGTCCATACTTTAAAAACCAGAAACCAGGAGGAATACTGAATTTTCTACAGAAAACCTGCCTTGTTCCTTTTTACTCTAAATAGAAAAAGAAAGATAACAGAAAAGCACAAAAAGGGGGCTGGAGAGATGGCTCTGTGGTTAAGAACACCGGCTGCTCTTGCAGAGGACCTGGGTTCAGTTCCCAGCAGCCATATGGTGGCTAACAACTGTCTGTAACTCCAGGTCTTCTGAGCTCCATGGGCACTGCATGACGTGGGTGCACTTACATACATGCAGACAATACACTCATACACATAAAATAAAAATAATAAATAACTTGGGCATGGTGGTGCACGCCTGTAATCTCAGTGCCTGGGAGGCAGGTGGATCTCTGTGAGTTCAAAGCCAGCCTGGTCTCCATAATGAGTTCCAGGCCAGTTGGGGCTACAGGAAGACAGTGTCTCAAAAAAACAAAAAATATAAATAAATAAAATATATTTTTTAGTGTTTTATTTATTATCATTATTATTATTATTATTATTATTATTATTATTATTATTATTTCTCAGTGCCTGGGAGGCAGGTGGATCTCTGTGAGTTCAAAGCCAGCCTGGTCTCCATAATGAGTTCCAGGCCAGTTGGGGCTACAGGAAGACAGTGTCTCAAAAAAACAAAAAATATAAATAAATAAAATATATTTTTTAGTGTTTTATTTATTATCATTATTATTATTATTATTATTATTATTATTATTATTATTATTTTTTTGTCTTTTTGAAGACAGGGTCTCCCTGTAGCCCCAGCTGTCCTGGAACTCGCTATGTTGAGTCCTCTGAAAGAGCAGTTAGTGCTCTTAACTGCATCCCCCCCCCCGCCCCCTCCAGAGCTGAGGACCAAACCCAGGGCCTTGTGCTTGCTAGGCAAGCACTCTACCACTGAGCTAAATCCCCAACCCCACTTAACCGCCTTTTAAAAGAAAAGAAAACCACAGAAGGGCAATCTGCTTCCTAAGCAGATATTTTTGAAAGGGACTGAAGGTAGGCAGGATTTCCAGGCTGCTTTTCATAAGACCTACCTACTACAAATGTGGTTTTTTGTTTTTTATCTTATTTATTTTTCATTTCGTGTGTATGAGTGTATTGTCTGCATGTATGTAAGTGCACCCGTGTTACGCATGCAATGCCTGCAAAGGTCAGAAGAGAACTTTGGATTCCCCTGGAACTGGAGTTATGGATGGTTGTTAACCACCATGTGGGAGCGGGGAATCAAACCTGGGTCTCCTGGAAGAACAGCCACTGTTCTTAACTGCTGAGCCATCTCTCCAGGCCCCAAATATGTTTTATACTAAGCATCTAGAATATCTAAAGTTGTCATAGCTAAAGAATCAGCCTGTGAAGAGAACGCAAGAAAAATGAAGACCAAAAGGTAAGAGAGCCATGAACAAGTTTCATACACACATACCCCCAAAACAAAACAAAAACCTATCAATAGTATATGAAGATCTAAAATAAAGAAAACTAAGAAAAATCACAGTGTCTCAGATAGCAACATAGACAAGCATGGACTCACACACTGGAGGCTATCAATATCAGAGGAATAACAGGAATACAGGTAATCAAGTAAAGGAGCTTGGGTTAACAAAAAGGAAATAAATCATTTTGGAGTAAATTTCACTTTTCAAGAAAAGGGTCAAATATACAAAAATTCATCTAGGGCTGGAGAAATGGCTCAGTGGTTAGGAGCACTGATGCTCTTGCAGAGGACCTGGGTTCAATTCCCAGCACTCACATGGCTGCTGGCAATTGTCTTGAAACTCCAGTTCCAGGGGATCCAACACTGTCTTCTGACTTCCATGGGCGCTGCACAACACGGGTGCACTTATACACATGCAGGCACTACACTCATACACATAAAATTTTTTAAAAATTCTGCTGTACTTTCTTAAAAGGGTATTCAGGCTCGAAGTGATGTGGCTTTTACTCACCCAGTGCTACTCACAGAGTATGAAGGCCAATCCCAAACCAAACTAAAACAAACCCCACAAAACTAGGTGTGGTGGGTCAGGACTATAATTTCAGCATTTGGGAGGCTAAAATAGGAGAGCTGCCAAGAATTTGAGGTCAGCCTGGGCTAGTGAGTTCCTAGGTTTGGGATAGGAGGGAGATCATGTGTCCAAAAATAAAAAATAAGAACTAAAACAAAACAAGAAAACCTTAAAAAGTCTTTTCTTTTTCAGGGTTAGGAATCAAACACAGGGCCCGACATATGCTAGACAAGCACTCTACCATTAACCAAGCTGTATGCCCAACCCCTTTATTTTGAAACTGAGTTATCCAGGACCTTGAACTTATGATCCTCCTTGCCTCAGCCTTTTGAGTAGCTGGGATTATAGGCCTGCACCACAAGACCCGGCTAAAAGGTCATCTTCAAACATACTAAGTTCCTAACCCTTTAGATCCCTGAGCATTCTTCTGACTCTATGGGGCATGTTTATGTTAGTTTTATGATAGTAGTTAGATACATTTTATGTAACTGTGGCATCTTGAGGGAGAGCGACTAAATCTGTTAAACTATTCTCTCTAAAAGGAACACTTCCCTAAATGATAAGGAGCAGTCACAAACCCAAGTTCAACAACACTGAAAGTCAATTGGGCATGGTGGTGCATGCCTTTAATTCCAGCACTTGAGAGGCTGAGGCAGGAGGAGCTCTGTGAGACCAAGGCCAGTCTGATCTATATAGGAGTTCCAGGCTAGCTATGGCTATAGGGAGACCCTGTCACAAACTACCCACCACAGAAAAAAACAACAGCCAGGTGTGGTGGCACATGCCTTTAGTCCCAGCATTTGGGAGGCAGAGGCAGGTGGATCTCTGTGCGTTCAAGGCCAGCCTGGTCTAATATTGAGTTCCAGGTCAGCTGGCGCTATAGGGAGACCCTGTCTGTCAGAGCTTGGCTGTAAGTCCCAGGACAGCCTGGCCTCCATAGCAAGTTCCAGTCCAGTCAGTACTATATAGCAAGACCCTGCCTAAACAAACAAACAGAAAGACAAACAAAAAACCCTGACGATGAATATGTGCCCATTCTACTCATCTGTGAGGAAGTCTCAGCTCAATAAGCTGGAAGCCAGGCAAGCAGAACTCTGATCTTCATAGCAGAGTCTTCACAGTCCAGCCCAGCTAATGATGCACCATCAGTTCAACAGTAGAAAGCCATTCATCATTCTAATCTACTACCAGTAGTTGAGCAAATGGATTATCAAGAGCCTCCATTCAACCTTGACATGCTGAGTGGCACAAAAATGAAACCACTGACTAAGCACTCTGAGTACAGAACCAGCTTTTTGATGCTTACTAGATTATACACATTATAAGAAAAAAATAATGAATGCTGGAAATACAATTTAGTGACAGAACACTTCCTGGCATGCACAAGGCCATACAGCACATACTGCTAAAAAAAAAAAAAAAAGAAAGAAAAGAAAAGGAGGAAAAAAGAAAACAAGGAGAGCTGGCTATAAGAACCACTTATGCCAGGCAAGGTGGCGCTCGCCTGTAGTCCCAGCACTTGGGAGGAAGAGGCAGGTGGATCTCTGTGAGTTCAAGTCCAACCTGGTCTACACAGTACATTCCAGGACAGCTGGGGCTACAGGGAGTCCCTGTTTAAAAAAGACCATAAATAAATAAATAATAAATAAATAAGTAAATAAATAAAATATCACATATCTACTTTTTAAAAAAAGAGGGAGGGAGCTGGAGAGATGGCTCAGCAGTTAAGAGCACTGACTGCTCTTGCAGAGGACCCAGGTTCAATTCCCAGCACCCACATGGCGGCTACAAACCATCCTTAACACCAGTTCCAGGGGAATCTGAAGTCCTCTTCTGACCTCCACAGCAATGCACAACATGGGTGCACTCACATACATGCAGACAATACACTCATACACATAAAATAAAAATAATAAATAAAAATTTAGGAAAAAAAAAAAGGGAAAAAAAGAATCTGTTCCCAGGACATAGAATCCCCACCATAACTACAGGCCTCACAACAATCAATGCTCACAAGAATTGAGAATTCAAAAATATCAGGGAAGTCAGGTATGGTGGTGTATGTTTGTAATTCCAGTACTAGGGAAGCAAGAGGATCACAAGTCCAGGTCCACCCTGAGCTACTTGGGACGGTCTCAAAAATCAAACCAAACCAAACCTCTCAAAACTAAACAGCAACAAAATCATGAGAGGAAACTGAGGCGAAAGAACTACTGAAACACACGGTGGCTTTTCAGGTGGTTTCCTACCCCCTACCATCGGCCGACGTGGGTGTCTGCACCACACTTGTCTGTTGTCCTGGCACTGGAGCTCTTGCACTGCTGATCAGAAGATCAAACTTGGTACTTCTGCAGGTATTGGAGCAAACTTTGTCATGCTGGTAAAAGTCGATCTGTCCAGAGTCCATCATTTTCCTGTACAGGAGGAGCAAAAAGCAGTGGTTCAGCCTGTCCTTTATCCACACAGAACTAGGCCCTGGGGCAGCACCAGCAGCAGATCAGTGAGGCCTAACAAGTCTGAAAACAGGACATTCTGAAAATTCTAATTGGGACTATAAATTTTTGTTAGTCCTGCCCACATTCACCAGAACATCTCTCCTGACCTTCCTCATTGAAAATCCTCTTGCCTTTTACCAAGGTTTAAAAATACTAAGATTCACTAAATCTAAACTGAGATGGGAAAATGCTAGCTCATATCCTAACACAGCTAAGAAACTCCTCGATAAGAATTTTGTTACGAGATCCTGATGAATTAGTATTCCTAGACCAGGAAGACCTTGGTGGTAGCCCAGGATGGCTTCAATTTCACTAGAAAGAGAGGAAGGCTCTGAACTGATCCTCCCATCTCCAACTCCCAAGTGCTAAAATTAAAGGCTTGAATCTGCACGCTTGGCTTATTACCACTTTCAAAACGCCCAGCTTATTATAATGTTTAAAGACCTAAAACTTCAGAAGACAGAGAAGAAAGAAAGAGAGAAGAAAAAAAAAAAAGGAGGCAGGGAGGGAAGGAAAAAAGTAGGGGCTGGAGGTATGGTACAGTGGTAGAGTCCTTGCCTAGCATGTGTGAGCAGTTGGTTCAATCTCCAGCCCACCAAAAAATAAAATTTACAAAACTGATAACTATCCTAGAAATACTGTGCAAAGCTGATTATACTAAACTCCTGGAAAATGTCTTTATAACTGGATCCATGAGGATTGCTATTACAGACCATGAACAAAACCACAAGGTATTTTAATTACAATAAATTCCATGTTGTCACCAGTGGTTTTCACTAAAGATTTTTAGCATTCTGATTCCTTTAAACATTTGGGAGAAACTGGCATATGCTAGTCTTTCTGGGCAGATAAAACAAGTCAAGGGCAAAAGGGGCTGGAGAGATGGCTGCTCTTGCAGAGGACCTGGGATCAGCACAGCTAACAACTGTCCCTAACTCCAGTTCCAGGGAATCCAGCACCCTCTTCTGGTCTCCATGGGCAGTGCATGCATAGGGGCATGTACATACATGCAGGCAAAATTCTCATATACATAAAATAAAAATAAATTTTTAAAAAGAGCAACTAAAAAGAAAGGTAAAGAAAGAGGTACGCCTAGCCGGCTGTGGTGGCATATGCCTTTAATTCCAGCCCTCAGGAGGCAGAGGTAGGAGGATCTCTGTGAGTTCAAGACCAACCTGGTCTACATAGTGAGCTCCAGGACAGCCAAGGGTACAGGGAGACCCTGTCTCAAAAAGACAAATTAAAAAAAAAAAAAAAAAAGAAAAAAGAAAAAGAAAAGAAAGGTAGTACTCCTCTCAAATCATCCTATAACTATAGTTAAACCTAGGGCCTTGTATATACAAGGAACACACTCTACCATTGAGCTACATTGCTAGGCCCTGAATTTTTTTTTCTTTTTTTCTTTTTGAGACAGGGTCTCCCTGTAGCCCCAGCTGTCCTGGAACTCACTATGTAGACCAGGCTGGCCTTGAACTCACAGAGATCTGCCTGCCTCTGCCTCCCAAGCACTGGGACTACAGGTGTGCACCACCACGCCCTAGCCCCTGAATTTTTTAAAATATTTATTCATTTCTGGTGAGTGTGGTGGCACATGCCTTTAATCCCAGCACCTGGGAGGCAGAGACAGGCAGATCTCAGTGAGTTCAAGGCCAGCCTAGTCTACATAGTGAGTTCCAGGAGAGCTGGGGCTACAAGGAGACCCTGTCTCAAAAAGACCAAAAACAAAAAACAAAAACAAAAAAATTTATTCATTTCTATATAGCCGGGCATGGTGGCGCACACCTTTAATCCCAGCACTCGGGAGGCAGAGGCAGGTGGATCTCTGTGAGTTCAAGGCCAGCTGGGGCTACATAATGAGTTCCAGGCCAGCTGGGGCTATGGGAGACCCTGTCTCAAAAAACACATACACAAATAATTATTTATTTCTGAGTCTTAAAAGCAATATATTAAGAGAATACTTACCATGGAAAGTATAGAAAGAAAAATATATACATACTATATGTAAGTGCACCTGTCATGCAGTGCCCTTGATGTCAGAAGAGGGCGTCAAATCCCCTGGAACTAGAGTTATGGACAGTTGTTAGCTGCCATGTGAATCCTGGGAACCAAACCAAGGTCCTCTGTAAGAGGAGCCAGTGCTCTTCACCGCTGAGCCATTTCTCCAGCTCTATACATCACACACACACACACACACACACACACACACACACACACACACACATACACACACACACACACACACACACACACACACACCAAAGTGTCAATATTTTAACCAACTTTCTCATATATTACCTACGTGTTGGGTATGTCTGTGTATGTTAACACAACTAAAATCACAATGCTTAGTCAATTTTTCTTCCTTTTTTATTAATGCAGTACCAGGGGTCAAAATCATAGCTGAGTATATGTTAGGGATGTGCTCTAGTACTGCACTATATCCCTAGTCCTGTCAGTCTTATAATTATATCATAAATATTTTTCCATTTAAAAACTCTTCAGAAGTCATTTAATGGTGGTAAAACCCTGAATATATAATTACATTTAGATGAGAATGACTCACTTTAGAATTCCTTAAGCAGACTGTACTCTGTGCTTTTCACCGTAATAAATAATGAAGAAGTTTATGCCTGAATCTCTATAATCATTACAAATATTTTTTTATGTTGTCCTGGAACTCGCTCTGTCCATCAGACTAGCATTACAGAGTTTTATCTTTTTTTTTTTTTTTTTTAGTCTTTTTGAGACAGGGTCTCCCTGTAGCCCCAGCTGTCCTGGAACTCACTATGTAGACCAGGCTGGCCTTGAACTCACAGAGATCCTCCTGCCTCTGCCTCCCAAGTGCTGGGATTAAAGGCGTGCGCCACCACGCCCGGCTCAGAGTTTTATCTTTTTAAAAATTAATTGTGTGTGTGTGGGGGGGGACAGGATCTCCTGTAGCCCAAGCTGGCCTTGACCTTGCTATGGATAGAGTATAACCTTGAACACTTGATCCTGCACCTAGCATCCAAGTGCTGAGATTACAGGCTGGGCTCAAGTTTTTCTTTCTTTTAAACTTTTTACTTATTTATTTTCTTTCTTTAGGTTTTTTGCTGTTTTGTTGTTTTGTTGAGATAGGGTCTCTCTCTAGCCCCAGCTGGCCTGGAACTTGCTATGTAGACCAGGTTGGCCTTGATTTCACAGAGATCCACCTGCCTCTGCCTCAGCTGTACTGGGATTAAAGGCATGTGCCACTACACTCAGCACAATAGTAAACTTGTAAAAAAGAGTATTGTAGGGGTATTATGCATTCTGTCCTTTGTTTCTGTGCTACATTAATAACAAAGACTATATTGAAAATGCATAACTGTCATTTCCAACAGCACTTTACCAGATTACCCCAGGATCTGTTTATCAGCCCACACCTCCCCATGGCTTGCTATACTTCCTGAGCACTGGGCTTTGCTGTCTCTACCAGAGGATCTCAGGGTAGACTGTCATCTACTGAGAGCTTGTCTACCAAGAAAGGATCCTGTCTAACCTCTTGATATCTAAGGCAGGCATGCTGGTGAGAGGAGGATCAGAAGTTCAAAGCCAGTCTTGACTACACAGCAAATTGTAGGCTAACCTTGACCCTACCTCAAAATCCCAAAAAGGGGCTGGGCATGGTGATACACGCCTTTAATACCAGAACTGGAGAGGAAGAGGCAGGTGGATCTTTGGGAGTTCAAGGCCAGCCTGGTTTACATAGTGAGTTCCAGACTAAGCATGGTGGTGCATGCCTTTAGTCCCAGTACTTAGGAGACAGAAGCAGGTGGAGCTCTATGAGTTCGAGGCTAGCCTGGTCTACACAGTGAGTCCAGGCGAGCTGGGGCTACAGAGAGACCCTGTCTCAAAAAACAAACAAACAAAACAAAACAAAACAAAACATAGTGAGTTCCAGCTCAGCTGGGGCTACATATGAGAACCTGTCTCAAAAAATTAATTAAATTCAGGGCTAGAGAGCTGGCTCAACATTTAGGAACACTGGCTGTTCCTAGAAAAGACCCATGTTCAGTTCCCAGCACCCACATGACAGCTAACAACCATCTGTAGTTCCAGGGAATTTGACACCCTTTTCTGACCTCCACAGGCATTGTACCACATGGGTACACTAACACACACATGTGCGTGTGATGACGCACGCCTTTAATCCTAGCACTTGGAAGGCTGAGGTAGGCAGATCTTTGTGAGTTCGAAGCCAGCTTGGTCTACATAGTGAGTTCTAGGACTGCTGGGGCTACAAGGAGACCCTGTCTCAATAAAAGAAAAAAAAAAGTAACACATTTAAAAAATTAATTTTTTTTCTTTTGTGTGGTGGGTGGTGCACGCCTTTAATCCCAGCACTCGGGAAGCAGAGGCAGGCAGATCTCTGTGAGTTCAAGGCCAGCCTAGTCTACATAGTGAGTTCTAGGACAGCTAGAGCTACAGGGAGACCCTGTCTCAAAAAGACCAAAAAAATAATAATAATAATTTTTAAAAAAGGGGGTTTGGCCGGGTGTGGTGGCGCACACCTTTAATCCCAGCATTTGGGAGGCAGAGGCAGGTAGATCTCTGTGAAGTTCAAGGCCAGGCTAGTCTACACAGTGAATTCCAGGACAGCTGGGGCTACAGGGAGACCCTGTCTCAAAAAGACCAAAAAACAAAAAAAGAAAACAACAAAAAAAGGGGGTTTGGATAGATGGCTCAGTGGTTAAGAGCACTTGCTGCTCTTGCAGAGGACCTGGGTTCCATTAGTTTACATAGCAGCTCACGACCATCTGTAATTCCAGCTCTAGGGGCTCCAACACCCTCTCTGTCCTATGTGGGCACCAGGTATGCACATGATGCATTTATATACATGCAGGCAAGACATTCATACACATAAAAATTAAAATGTTAAAAAAAAAAAATCACACTTAAAAAAAAATAAAAAGAAAGAAAGAAAAATCTCCCCTAGATGCTGGGGAAAGTTAATTTAACTCAATCTTTTTTCTCTCCCAGAGACTTAATAACAAGGTGGGGATTCAGGGAGGGAGGGTGGTTATAACTCAGTGGTAGAGTGCCTGTCTAGCATACGTGAGGCCCTGTATTCCATCCCCAGTACCACAAAGGTAAAAAAAATTAAGATTAAGAACAAGTTGATGAAAATCAAATAATGTGTGGCTTGCCCAAGCTAATCCTACACACAGAATACAGTGCTGAGTTAAAGAGAAAAGATTCTACCATGATTAAGTGCACCATAGTTTGTTAAAATATATGTGCTTGCCACTAGTACTTACCTGAGCATGATTCCACCCAGACGAATGGCTCTCTTCCAGTCCTTCAGAGTAGACTTGCCAGCCAGATGAACAAAATGCTTGGGGCTGATCAATTGATCATTGAACTAAAGTAAAAGAAAAGTCCAAGTGGTCCAGTGTCAATTTGGGTAGCTCAAGAGTGAAAAGAATGAAATAGTTCTACTTGCTGTAGTCAGAAAACACCCAGACAATATTCCAAGTCATGTATAATTCCTTGTCCTATTGTGCCAAAGTTGATCCTTCTCTGAGCACAAAAGTAGAGGATACAGTTATCTATAATCAATCCACTTATATGGGGCTGGCCTAGTGCTATAAAAGTTGATCAAGTAAACTGAAGAACTCTGAGCAGCGCTAAAGACAAGATTCAAGATGGGGTCAGGGAGATAAAAGCACTAACCATGCACACTCGAAAACTGAGTTCTACAAGGCAGAACCTACACAAAAAGCCAGATGCAGTGGCCTGCGCCTGTAATCCCAGCACTCCTACAGCGAGACAGGAGGTGGAGACAAAAGAATCACCTGAAAGCTCAAAGGCCAGTTAGCAGCAGCAGCAGCAGATTCACACACCCACACACCCACAGACACACACAAAAATGCACAGCACAGCAGCAGAAGATTCACACACACACACACACACACACACACACACACACACACACACACACACACACACACAGAGAGAAAAACGCCCCCGGGACAATCACCTGAAAGCTCAAAGGTCAGTTAGAATACACAGCACAGTAACAGAAGATATCAGTGCAAGACATTTTACATGTATAATCTCATTTATTATACCACACCATATATGTATATGTGTGTATATATGTGTACATGTGTATATATATGTGTGCGTATATATTGATGATAATGATTACTACTTTTTTATTTTGGACTTTTTGAGAGAAGGTCCCCCTGTAACCCCAACTGACATGGAACTCACTATATAGACCAGGCTGGCTTTGAACTCAGAAAAATCTGCCTGCCTCTGCCTCCTGAGTGCTGAGATTAAAGGTTTGCACCACCACACCTGGCCAATGATTACTATTTTAATATATGAGACTCTCATAGGGGTTAGAGAGATATCTCAGCAGTTAAGAGCACTTGATGCTTGCACAGGACCCAGGTTCACTTCCCAGCACCCACACAGTGGCTCATAATTATCTGTAACTCCAGTCCCAGGGACTCTTAACACCCTCTTCTGGCCTCCACAGGAACAAGGCACACATGTGATACACAATATATGCATGCAGGCACTCATAAATATACAAAAACATGAACCTATAAGTCCAACTACTAAAATACTGAATATTAAATATCTTGTTCAAAATCAGGCTGTGATAAATAAGAGACTCCATTCACTTATTTATTCACTTGTTAAACAAATACTTAATCAAACACCTATTATCAGGCCCCATGCAGGTTGGAGATGTCCCTCAGTGGTAAAGTGTGTGCTTAGCATGTACAAGGTCCTCCTACCACTACCACTGTGAACAAAGCACCACATTAGATGCTGGGTTTACCCTGGTGAAAAGCAGACAAAGTTCTCTGCTCTCATAGACCTTATATTTTAGCGTGACTAGATCTGGGTCAATTTTACTTCAAAATCCTTATTGTTTCTACTGTGACACAGTAAGAAATAGTATAGGACTGGTGAGACAGCTTAGCAGGTAAAGGCACCTGCAGCCAAGGCTGACAACCTAAGTTCAATTTTCAGAATCCATATGGTAAAGAGAACCGATGCCTTCAGGTGTGTGTCATGGCACAGGTGTGCCCTTCCCCACACAAAATAAATATTGTAAAAGTTGGTGGCAGAGAGAGGAGGCACTGAAACAGAACTTTGTGAAAACAAAGTGTCAGAAGAAAGCTCAGAAAGAAGTCACTTACCTTGACACACTTCACATTTATTCCTGGACACACAAACTTCTTCCAGAGCAGGATGGCTTTACTCTCTCCACATGTTATAGGATAAGCAATCTCCATGTCCTCATTCGCTTCTATCGTGCTTGCATCTGAAAATGGAAAAATAAGCCCATTACTTATTGAACAATTCTTCCCAAAAGCTTAAATTCCAAACTTATAGTCTTTTGGATCCCCTCATGGATAACAGGTCACTCTTTTATTTTCTATTTTTGAGACAGGGTCTTGCTTAACTCATGCTAGCCTTCAACTCAGTGTACAGCAAGGATGCCCTTGAATTCCTGATCTTGTTGCTACCTTCCCAGTGCTGAGATTACAGGTGTGTACCATCACCTCTGAGATGATTACAGGTGTGCACCATCACCTCTGGGTTTTTTATTTTTTATTTTTTGGTCTTTTTGAGAGGGTTCCCCTGTAGCCCCAGCCAGCCTGGAACTTACTATGTAGACCAGGCTGACTTTGAACTCATAGAGATCTGCCTGCCTCTGCCTCCCAAGTGCTGCCTCTGCCTCCCAAGTGCTGGGATTAAAGATATGTGCCATCATGCCCGGCCTCACCTCTAGTTTTATGTGGTACTGGGGCTCAAACCCAGGGCTTTGTGCATACTAGGCAAGCACTCTACCAACTGACCTATATCCCTAAACAGGGAACCCTTTTTTTTTTTTTTTTTTTTTTTTTTTTTTTTGTCTTTTTGAGACAGGGTCTCCCTGTAGCCCCAGCTGTCCTGGAACTCACTATGTAGACCAGGCTGGCCTCGAACTCACAGAGATCCACCTGCCTCTGCCTCCCGAGTGCTGGGATTAAAGGCGTGCACCACCACGCCTGGCTTTGTGTTTTGAGACAGGGTCTCACTATGTAGCCCTAGCTGGCCTAGAACTTCCTATGTAGTCCAGGATGGCCAGAACATACAGAGATCCATCTGCCTCTGCCTCTCCCTAAGCCTGGGCATGGTGGCACACACCTCTAATCCCAGCAGAGGCAGGCAGATCTCTGTGAGTTCAAGGCCAGCCTGGTCTACATAGCAAGTTCCAGGTCAGCTGGGGGCTACAGGGAAACCCCATCTTGAAAAGACCAAAAAAAAAAAAACAACCCCCAAATGAAGTAACTGTCTGCCTCTGCCTTTTCCTCATGAGTGCTGGGGTTACAGGTGTGTGCCACCACATCATCCTACAAATGCACTCAGTGGCACTGCTTAGGAATACTCTTGAAGAAATTTGCTATATCTCTGTCTTCTCAAGCTTCTACTATCTGCTAGACACTATACCATATTCTTTCTCTTTTTTGAAATTAAAAATATGTATTTATTATTATTATTATTAGAAGTAGTAGTAGTGTGTATGTACATGTATGTGGAGGTCAGAGGACACTGTGGAACTGGTTCTCTCCTTCAACTTTTATGTGGTTTCTGGAGATTGAACTCAGGTCATAGATTTGCATGCTTACTTGACCAATGCTTCTACCTGCTGACATCTCACCGGCCTCTCACATTCTCTTATGCGTGTTGCTAAGGATCAAAGCTAGGATGTTGGAATACTAGGTAAGTGCTATACAACTGAGCTATAACCCCACCCCTACTATATACTTTTTACATGCTAAATTTTGTTTTTTTTGGTCTTTTTGAGACAGGGTCTCTCTGTAGCCCCAGTTGTCCTGGAACTCACTATGTAGACCAGCTGGCCTTGAATTCACAGAGATCTGCCTGCCTCTGCCTCCCTAGTGCTGGGATTAAAGGCGTGCGCCACCATGCCCAGCATAGGATTTTCATAGATGAAAAAACCTTTTTGGCTACTGTAACAAGTTGATACTAAGTGATCGAGCAATAGCTCTGCCATCTTAGTTGGCAGTACTGACAGGCATACTGGATAGGGAAAGAATAATGCACAGAAGGCAAGATCTCCTCAGCTAGGGGTAAAGCTCACTAACAGAACACTTGTCTAGCTTACATAAGGTCCTGGGTTCAATCCCCAGCACTAAAATGGAAAAAAAAAAAATACAAGAAATTCCAGCCAATAAGCTAAAGTCAAAGGTACAGGTAGAACAACAAAAACTTACCAATTCCTTCTTCAATTTTGTGGATCGTGTGAGTTTCTACAGCTACAACTGCTGTGTTGTTCTCCGACCCAGCTTCATAAATCCTGTTGTAAAAGTGTCCATCGATAAACAAACTACATAAATCATGAAAAAATTAATATTCACAGCATGGGGTTAAGAAATTTGCTTTAATCTATCTCAAAAGGAGTAAAACTAAGTATACTTTGCAACTCTACTCTGGTGCTTTGACAAGTTGGTTGTGTTCAAATTCCAAACATCCCAAGACCACTGAGCTTCTCAGGGAAATGAATCGATTCTTCTCACCCCAGAGTAAGCCAAGTCTTCCTGCCTGCACTTGCTCTGCCACTGGACTACAGCAGACCTTTTCCTTAACAACTTTAAGACTAATTCACATGTGTATGGTTGTGTGATTCTATGTGCACAAGTGCATGTCGGTGCCCACAGAGGGCAGAATAGGGTATTGCATTCCCTGGAGCTGGAGTTACAGGTGGTTGTGAGCCACCAGACATGGGTGCTAGGAACTGAAGTCAGGACCTATGGAAGCAAGAGCTCTTTTACTGCTGAGTCATCTCTCCAGCCCCTTCCTTAAAAACTTAAATGCTCAAGATATAACATTAACTCAATTCCAAGATTAGCCTTATTATAAAATTAATCTGACAAAAAGTAGTGCCAGCACTCACGACAGGAAGGGGCAGGTTGATGACCCTTGCTGAAATTTAGACATTTTAAACACTTATTTTTTTAGCACTTCAGCAACTTTTAGGGCAGCAGAACTGAAACAGTCACACAAACCAAGCATATAGAAAAAAACATAAAAGAGAAACTGCGCCCAACACAAGCAGTGATAAGTAGAGTCACCACTAAACAGAAGGTTGTGCACTGCGTCTAAGGCCATACACTCTGAACACTCCCAATCTTGTCTGATCTCAAAAACTAAGCAAAAGTGGGCCTGGTTAGCACTTTGATTGGGTAAGTTATGTAATGCACAGTTCCCTAAATGTGTCTACAGATATGGGCTCAGATAACCTAACATGATGCACTGCTGTTCTTTGCTTAATTTCTATAATGGATCTAATGTGCTAATTCTTACACCTTGTTACTGGAAAGTATTGCCTGAACACGCTTCCTTGCATGGATGATGGTCTACCTCATGGTGGACCTCTAGCACAGACTGCCCCTCTGAAGTTCACACTATGACAGCTAACTGCTAAGTGAATAAACACATGTGGACTTTTTTATCTCAAAGAACTTGGTTGAATTCATTATGCCTGAAATAATCACAGGTTCTCGTCCCAGCCCACACTACTTGTATTCCTGAGCTGGTCATGACAGCACAGGCCTACAACCCAGCACCTGGCAAGTGGAAGGATCCCTTCTCTGCTTTACAACGTCAATGAAACTTCACTTGCTCTTAAAAAAAAAAAAGGACTACTGTTCCCATACTCTCCATTATAATGACACTACCCAGCACACAGTGGACAGAAACCTGGGTATTATACTAGATTTCTTTCTTTAGACGTAGTGAAGATTAAATGCTAGACAAACACTCTATCACTGAGATACATACCATCCCTTGCGCTAGATTTCTCCCTTTTCTCCTCCTCCATTCCTACAGTCATCCAGTCTTGCCTGGTATCCTCTAACACTAGCCGTCTTCCCTGTCTCTAGCTACCACCTTAATTCATGGCTCATTATGTCTAGTCTGAACAGTTTGCCCTCATCTAACGGATCTTGTGCATGACTGCCAGAGTAGTCATGTAATTCTCTTTTCTCTTTTTTTTTTTTTTTTTTTTTTTTTTTTGGTGTTTTTGAGACAGGGTCTCCCCTGTAGCCCCAGCTGGCCTGGAACTCACTATGTAGACTAGGCTGGCCTCAATCTCACAGAGATCCATCTGCCTCTGTCTCCTGAGTGCTGGGATTAAAGGCATATGCCACCATGCCTGGGTGTAATTCTCTTCTTTAAAGTCTTTAAATTGGGGCTGGAGAAGTGGTTCCATGGTTAAGAGCACTGGCTGCTCTTGCAGCGGTTCTGTATTCAGTTCCCAGCACCCATACGAAAACTTAAAACCATCTGTAATTCCAATTCCAGGGAATCCAATGCTCTCTTCTGACAGGTATTGCATGACATGGATGCACTTATATACATGCAGGCAATACACTCATACACATAAAATAATAAAAAAAGTTTAAAAGATTGTTCTATCTTTAAAAAAATAAAGCTGGGCATGGTGGCACACACCTTTAATCCCAGCACTCAGGAGGCAGAGGCAGGCAGATCTCTGTGAGTTCAAGGCTGCCCTGGTCTACATAGTGAGTTGCAGGCCAGCTGGGGCTACAGGGAGACACTGTCTCAAAAAAGACCCCCCCCCCCGAAAAAAAGCCCAATCCAATAAAAACCTCATTATATGTCATCCTAGCTGAGGTAAGAAGATTATGAATTTGAAGCCAGACTAGGTATATATGAAATTAAGAGCCTGTGAATGTCTATAATCTTAGCATTTGGAAGGTTATCCTTGGCTATATACTGAGTTTGAAGCTAGCTTGAGCTACATGAAACCCTTTCAAAAATATGAAGAAAACAAAGTGAGTGCGGTGGTGCATCCCTTTAATTCCAGCACTCAGGAGGCAGAGGCAGGTGATCTCTGTGAGATTGAGGCAAGCCTGGTCTACACAGAGTCCAAAGCCAGCTGGAGCTACAGAGACCCTGTCTCAAAGAACCTCCAAAAACCTAAGAAAACAAACACAACAATAACAACAACAAAAAATTAAGATAAATTTTAAAAGGGAGAGTGCACACCTTTAGTCCCAGAGGCAGAGGCAGGTGGATCTCTGTGAGTTTGAGGCCAGCCTGGTCTACATAACACACCTCCATGACAGAATATTGACTAGCCTGACCTTGTTTCGCTCTAGTCCTTCCTACCCTCTTGCTTTTACAAACCCTCTGCCCCTCTTCCTCGGTCTTTGAGTTTATAAGACAGGGTCTTGCTACATAACCCAGGTATGCTTCTGTTACCTCAGAACTGAAGGAGTAGGGGAGAGTCAGACAAAGATGAATCCCTAAATTCAGTGAGAGTCTGTCTTAAAAAAAAAAAAATTGGCTGGGTGTGGTGGCACATGCCTTTAATCCCAGCACTTGGGAGGCAAGGCAGGCCAGGTGGATGTTTGTGAGTTCGAGGCCAGCCTGGTCTACATAGTGAGTTCCAGGACAGCTGGGGCTATAAGGAGACCCTGTCTCAAAAGGACAAAAAAATAAAAAATAAAAAATTGGGGGGGGGTGGCTCAGTAGTTAAGAGGGCTTGCTGTTTTTCCATAGGACCTAAATTTGTTCCTAGCATCCTTGTCAGGTGGCTCACAATCAAATCACCTGTAACTCCAGCTCCAGAGGATCTGACACCCTTTTCTGACCTTCACAGGCACACACACATACATGTAGCATACAAATACACAGACACACACATACACATAAATAAAAAATAAAAATAAATCTTTAAAAATAATAATGGGGGCTGGATAGACAGCTCAGCATTATGAGCACGGCCTGCTCTTGCAGAGGACCGGGTTCGATTCCCAGCACCCACATGGAAGCTAACTGAAGAGCCAGAATGCACTGACTCCATCTTGGCTAGCTTCTTCAGACAAGCCCAGACAAGCTCAGGTATATTGTAAATTTTTCCAGTTGCTACCCGCTCCCCCAAACTATAGATTAAGCAAGCCCTGGACATGTAAAAGCCTTATAAGGTATGAACAAAAACATCTGGCCCTAAAAGATATCAGTCAGCACATTCCAATGCCCTGAAGACAGCCCCTGCCTGCTATTGTTCGGGGCCAGACTCCATCTTTGGCTCGTGCAGTCTGTGCCCGGCTAGCCGCCATTTGGTTGTTTTTACTTTAAATTCCTGAATAAACTTTTTGTACAATCTTCTTGGTATCTGTGGGAATTATTCTTGATTCTCAAACCCTAACATTTGGGGGTTCATCCGGGATTTGAGACTAGAGACCCCGGACGGGAGCATGCCACCAGGGCCAGCCTTGGTAAGTGTTCTGCCTGCTTTTGTCTCTCTCTCTCTCTCTCTCTCTCTCTCTCTCTCTCTCCCGTTTTTCGATATTCCGGACATCCTGGGGCTCAACAGAGATCAGAGATCAGGTGGACGCACCATTGATCCCGGAGCTGTAGGAGAACAGGGCACGCCCCGACTCCTCCTCTGATAGGGGGTCGGATCCAGGCCGGACAGGCCCAGAGTCTTGGCCCAGCCTGACATGGAATCTGGGCGGGCCAGACACAAGATTCTGGTTGAGTCTGACATGGAATCCAGGCTGGCCAAATCTTTTTGGGAAAGGGACGGGGCAGCCTTCTCGGCTGACTCCACACGCTGCGAGATTTTCATTTCTCCCTCTAGGGAGCCGCCATCTCATACTGTCCTCACCCTCTGCTTGGAGCTCCACCTTGTCTATCGACTTTCCATCCTATTTCTTCTCATTCTCATTCCTCTTCTCATATTCCTTTTTCTTGACGATTATCCCACGATGGGTCAGAAAGTCTCATCATCAGCTCCCCTTGATCTAGTTCTTAGTCATTTTCAGGATTACAAACGGGTGGCCTCGAACATGTCCGGACTCCGTGTCAAACCTACCCACCTCCAGACCCTCTGCATCATCGAATGGCCCTCCTTTGAAGTCGAATGGGTGCCTGAAGGGTCCTTTAACTTGTCCCTCATCTACAGGATTCAAGGAGTTGTCTTCGGGGAACCAGGGCACCCTGACCAGATCCCCTACATCCTAGGTTGGAGATATCTGGTCACCGCCCCCCCAACTGGCTGAATCCCTTACTGCTGCCCCCGCCATTGGGGCCTAAAGGGTCAGCCACTTTGCTTCCCCTGAAGAAAATCCTGACCAAAAACCCATCGGGTCCCGAAGTCCTCCCCTCAGTGCCAGAGGAAGATTTACTCCCACCCCCTTATGGGGCCCCATCGAGTGCTCAGGATAGACCTAGAGAACACAGGTCCCAAGCCTCTTCCTCTTCTTCCAGTTCCTCCCAGTCTCTGTCCCGGCTCCCATGACTGAGCCCAGCCCATTGCACACTCGCGCACAGGGGGAGGGGAGGACAGTATGAGCT